GAAAATAGCAATCCCACCACCGCTCGAGGAGCACGGCGGGCCGTCCGCGCAGGTAGCAGACAGGTAGCCGGGAAGATACGATCCCACCATCGCTCGGCGTGAGCACGGCGGGCCATCCGCGCAGGTAGCAGACAGGTAGACAGGAGGATAGCGATCCCGCCACCGCTCGGCGAGAGCACGGCGGGCCGTCCGCGCAGGCAGCAGACAGGTAGCCAGGAAGATAGGGATCCCACCACCGCTCGGCGTGAGCACGGCGGGCCGTCCGCGCAGGCAGCAGACAGGTAGCCAGGAAGATAGGGATCCCACCACCGCTCGGCGTGAGCACGGCGGGCCGTCCGCGCAGGCAGCGGCCGTGGGGATCGGCGACAGGAATTTCTCCTTACGGGTAACTCATTGAACTGTGAAATACAGGAACTTGGGGTGTTAAGATCGTTGGCATACGGCCATATCTCGTAAAGCCCGTTAAAATCGGCTGCATCTTTAATCTTTGCTTCCACGATCTTTCACAGGGACCTCGCCCCAAGCGTTGCAATGGTCCTGTCAGTGCGAGTCTATGTTACATGACAATACTAATATAGTGGACGGCTTTACGTTATAGCAAAAAGACCACTTCACAACGGCGTCCTGTATGGCTATAAATACAGTTTATAGCAAACAGCAAACCCTGCTGGTGCTCCGATTAGTTGTTGACGAATGACATGGCAGTCTTTAGTCCATCTGCAGCGACCAACTTTGTTGGTTGCATCCATTACTTGTAATGCAGTACATATGTGAGATTTATCCTCAAAACCTGTATGCATTTCCCACCAACGCTGATTCTGCGGTGTTTCCCTCAACGGTACCACATATGAATTGAAATACAACCGCCACCTAAGTTTTGTTTTTGCAGCTTTTTTTGTACAGTTGCCAGAGCATTGCTGCTACCATATGCAAACGACTAGCTTATCTAAACCCGCAGTCGGGACTACCAAAACTAGTATGCAGTTAGCTTGCAATATAACGCAAAGTGCTGCGCGTCGTTTGCTTTTCATCTGATCACCCCATTGATGTCTTGTCGGGGATCAGCTGCGCGTGTTGGACTTATTTGTGATTTGTTTCAAGCTTTTGTGCATTATGCACGAAAGCTAAAGAAGTGTGTTATGCACGATGCTGTTTGTGTGTACGATAGCCAAATGTAAACCTGTTGGTAACGGTAAAGACGTATTATTTTCTCTTTTCATGATTCTAGTGTAAGGTGGCATTGGGCCGCTAGCTGCAGCGAGTTCCGAGCGTCTTGCCTGCTGTCTTGCTTGTGTGTGTGTGTGTTGTGTTTTTATACCTGTATTTGCAAAGATATACACCAGCTTGGTGGTGCAAAGTAGGCCGTATTATTGTTATCATACTGAAAAGCTTTTAAGCTCATAAGAAAAGCATCACGTCACCAAAGATGGCGCTGGTGTTTTTCCAGCAGTAGTTATCCACAGTATAATCACTTTTGGTTGTGACATTGTTTGATGGTTGACATGGTTGACAATCAGCCCGACATTGTTTTAATGTTAAGAAGTCACGTCCCATTTGAAGCCGATGTTTTTGACAATTCTGATGTATGGTGGTCATGATCATATGCTGGCGGCCATAGTATCGCTCAAGTCAGAAGAGCGAGGGCAGGTATACAAATTGACAATCCTAATTAATGATTAATCTATGAATGTCGTGCAACTGCCATGAGTGCCTATAAACTTGGGCGCTCAGTATGAAAATAGTGCCAAACTTTTATTTACTTGTTTTGTTTTCAGTTCCATGCAGTAAAAAAGCAGCATGAACATTTTTTTTTTTTGAAAACATTTTGAGACATGAAATAGCAGCACAACATAAATGCCAGCTGGCAAGCCTTACGATGTTGCAAATATTCATCGATAGGGTTGGGTTGCAATCCCATTTGATTACATATTATGGTTGTGGGGACTGGATGCCACGTCGCATCAACTTGTCCTCTGAACATTATCTTCCTTGGGTATGGAAGTGCACATAAGCAGCATTTTGTGATGAAGGAGGAATTGTTTCCATGAAAGTGATCAGATGTGCAATTTTGCAGCTGTTCCATTACATGCCTTGAAGTCCAGGCTTAATAACCTGCTGTATGAGTCCAATCATATCAACGGTATCATAAAGGCTGGTTTTTCGCTTGAAAGTTGATAAGAACTAAAGCACTCAACTTTTTTTGTTTCGATCTGCCAGCGACTGTGACGACATTGTCATAGACAGGTGCCTGAGGAGGAAACATGGAAAGAGGGACGCCTGCAGCCCTTACAGTGAGAAGAATTGTCAGAGGACTTTGTTGCTGTGCGGAGATGGACAAGCATCTGTGCCACAAGCCGTCAATGGTGAGAACTGTGCGTCCTGTTCAGAAAAGGGACACTGTGTGGCTACGCTTGGCATGGATGAAATCATGCTAGTGTTCTATTCATGCATTGATAAAGGTGATCGAGGAACTGGACATTGTCTAGTTGTCATGAAAAAGTTTACTTTCCTCCACTGCCGGCAAATTAAAACTTTTACCCGTTCGAAAATTACGAAATCTGCATTTCAAAACAAGTCATGACCAGAATCGTAAATATTTACCCAGAAAGTGCAAGCGTGACCATCTCTTCCCTTGATCCGTCTTCAGCAGGACTAGGTCGCCGTCTCTAAGAGGTGAAAGGTCACGCACTCCGTGACGCCGGTCGTAAGCAGACTTCTGCAGCTGCTTTGAGCAGCAGTCGCGTTGCTTGAGTTTGGCGTGACTGACCACTCGTGGCTGTAGCTGTGTTTCCAGCGTGGGCGGTCCAATTTGAAGCTTTCGGGATATCAGTGTCTCAGCAGGGCTGACCCCGGTTGTGGAGCATGATGTAGTGCGATCACGAGATCGTTCAGCCCCAGGAGCTTCTTGGCCGTTTAGTCGGCACGTTCGGGCAGGCCGTTGGTCTGATGAAGCGTGAGCCGCACTGTGCCGCGGACTCACGGAGCGTCTTTGAGGCCAGCTGTGGGCCATTGTCTGAGTGGATGTGGTCCGGCAAACCGTGTACTATGAAGACTTCTTTCACTTTTCGGCAGACTGCTACTGTGGTTGTCGCAATCAGATTTCTGACTTCGATCCGCCTGCTATAGTAGTCCACCAGGACCCGGTACTGGTGGCCGTCGTGCTCAAACAGCTCCGTCGCGAGCTTTCACCTCGGTCGAGATGACAGCTCGGACGGCTTCATCGGCTCCTTCCGTCGAGACAGGCGGCAATGGCAGCGCCATTCGCAGGCTAGGACCATGTTTTTCACGTCCTGGCTGACGTTTAGCCACCAGACTGAGGACTTCGCTCGTTCCCTGCACGACAACAGACCTTGGTGACTGGCGTGCAGGCATTGGAGAACGTCTCGTCGCTGGGCTTTTGAGACCGCGATTCGGTCCTGGAACGTGATGAGGCCGTCACAGATTGACAGGTCACTCCACACTGAAAAGTACGGGACCAGACTCGGCGGCACCGCCGTCGCGTGATGTGGCCAGCCGTCGGTGATGAACTCCGAGACGGCTCGTAGCTCTTCGTCTCCTTCGGTTGTTGTCTCGAAATCCCGCAGCTTGGAGTCGGATGCTGGCTGAGACGTTTGGACAGCGTGCACGTATACCGATGCTTCGCTTGCCAGGGTGTGGCTGCGAACAGAGTCGCTATCAATCAGCGGGCTGCGGGATAGCGTGTCGGGAACCATCAGGTTCTTGCCTGGGACGTGATGAACCTGGAAGTTGAACCTCAACATCCGCAGAAGGAGTGGTTGGCAGCGCAGTGGAGCTTGATGTAGCGGTTTGGCGCTCAGCAGAGAGACCAGGGGCTTGTGATTTGCCAGCAGTGTGAAGCTGGGCAGACTCACCAGGTACCTCGCGAACTTCTCAAATGCTCATACTGCAGCGAAACACTCCTTTTCATGTGCTCTTGCTGGAGCACTGCTCCCAGACAGTAGGAGCTTGCATCAGCGGCGACCACGGTCAGCAGAGAAGCGTCGTAGAACTGGGGGCTAGGCGACTTTCCCAGGAGCTCCCTGCAAGCTTCGAATGCTTCAGCCTAGTGGGGTCCCCACTCCCAGGCTGCATCCGCCTTCAGCAGGTCTGGCATGGGCTTCATTGTTGTGGACAAGTTTGGCATAAACCTAACCAGGTACGTCATCATGTGCAGGACACTGCGCAGCTCTTCCACCGTGCTGGGTGTAGGCATGTCCTTCAGAATCCGGATTTTCTCTGGATCGGGCATGATGCCGCAGGCTCCAACGACATGTCCGAAGTACACCAGCTCTCCCTTTCTGAGCTGGCACGTCTGGTAGTTGAGTCGCAGGCCAGAACGACTCACAGTTTCCAACACATTCTTCACGCGGACGTTACGTTGGGCACGTGTGCGTTCATTGACGAGGATGTCGTCCACGATAATTTCAGTACCGTCATGACCCTCAAGCAGCTCCTGCATTTCTCAGAAATATTTCACTTGCAGAGGTGATGCCGAACGGTACCCTCTGAAAGCAAAACCTGCCAAACGGGGTGATGAAGGTGGTCAGTTCCTGACTTCCCTCCTCCAGAGGCATCTGCCAGAAACCGCTTTCGGCATCCAGGCTGCTGAATACAGTGGAGCCAGCTAGGTTGGATGCGATGTCATCCAGTGTTAGTAGCACCAGGTGCTCCCTCTTCACAACCTGATTCAGGCACTGGAGGTCCACAGATATCCTCACTTGGCCTTTGCTCTGCGTCACTGGCACACAGTGATGTGGGCGTTGTCACCGTTTTTGTGACACCTTCTGTCAGCATTCGCCCCAATTCAACTTTAACTTTGTCCAGGAGCGGGAGGAGGACGTTCCGAGCTGTGAACAGGCGGGACGATTCGGCGTCACCCATCAGCTCCATCTTGGCAGGTGTGGTTTCCATCAGTCCTACACCCTTTTGCAGTCGTGACTTCATTCAGTCTGGCCACCAGCGCCATCCTGATCCATCCTGATCCATCCGCCAGCAGCATCTCAGGCCAGGAGGTTGTTGGCCATTTGGCCCTTCACGACCATCACTTTGAATGAGTGGGTCTGATCTTTGTGCAGGGTGGTGGCCTTAAACTCTCCAGCACACTGCAGTTGTCCCACCGGGCTGGTCAGGCCAGCGCGCGGCTTGGCCAGTTGGTGGCTCCATCATTAAGCCACACACATCTTCAGTCATCGCTAACACATCAGCTCCAGTACCAATTTGGAATGTTATGGAGCTTTTGTTGGTAACGCCGGCGTAGGCATCGCACTCAGTAAAACAGTCCGCATCACCTAAATCCAGCAAGCAAACCATACAAGACTGTTGCTATTACATGCACCAGATATTTATGAATTCCTCTGACACCTTTATATAGCTCCATGTCCTACATAATGCTAATAAATCACGATTTCCCCTCGCATCTATCACTCAATGTCCACAAACGGGCGTAGGAATCGGTGATGCGGCTGTGAGCTGATTGTAGTGAAGTTAGCTAACACTTCCAGCCGACTGTATGGTGACGTCACAAGGCCACAAAATCACTGCCATCCTGGTGATAGTTTGCACGCCTATGACCGGCAAGTCAGTGATGGGACCCGGGCGTTTCTCGTCACATGGCGGTCTCTACCAGTCGGACGGAAAGCGATTACTGAAAGTTATGTGTTGTAGGAATAGGCCCATGCATCACTTTGCACGATCTCTGAGATGAATATGAAATCCGGCCAGATGGCAACGGCCGTGACGGATAAGACAAGGCCAGCATATGAACAGGGTCGGACGAGACCCGACGGAAAAGACCAAACCAGACGAGACCAGGCGGTCAAGACAGGACTGAGTAAACAAGACGAGACCGAGCAGACTGCACGGATGCCAATAGGATCCGACAAGATCAGGCATAACCAGACGAGATTTGAAGGGATCCGAGGGCACCATGCATGACTGAAAGGAACCGGACGAGACGGAACATACAGAACGGGACCAGGCGGAACTGGACAGAACGTGATGGGCCCAGAAGAAACCGAACTAGATAAGACTAGATGTTACTGGAACGGATTGGACATGAACGAATGGGACCGGACCAAACGAGACGAGACAAAACGACCGGGCGGGATCAGACAGGATCAAACAGTATCTCAAGTGACGAGAAGGAATCGGGTGGGACAGAATGGGAACGCACAGGCAGAATTGGACCCGATCAGACCGAACCAGATGTAGCGTCATGAAGGGAGACAGAACCGGGCGAAAACAGGCCAAATATGGGGAAACCGGGCAGGACGAGAGCAGGTGGGACGGGACAGACCCGGAGGAGCCTTGACCAGACCTTGCGGGATCAGACGGGACTAGGCGGGACTTGGCGACGGAACTCCCTCTGTTCGGCATTGTGGCCCCTTGACCAACACACGGCCTCTCACATTTCAGGCACCTCAAACAATGCAAATCGCGTGCCCGGCCTTGTTCCTTCTCAGGAAATGCCTCCTGGGCTGAGACCGACACGAAATTAACTGTTCGGTGTCAGTCGTCTCTGGCCCAACTAGAGACACGCGTTCTCCCAGAGGATTTCAATCGATGCAAGAGTTCACCTGATTGACATTTAAAGTCACGGCCCTACAGACTGGGAGCCTGAATATGACGTACAGCCAGCTCTTCGGGCGGTTCAGCCTTTCCATCGGGCCTTTGATCGCCAGCCTCGGCGGGTATTTCGTGACTCTCTTTAGACGCCCTCCAACACTGCCCTGGTCGACCCGGGGCCCCTTGTCAACACAGGGCCCTCTGCTACGCACTGTGGACTTCTGGCCAACTCGGCTCACTAGCTCAGAGGTCAAACCAATGTGAATCACGGGCCCCGGTCTTGTGCTTGCTGAGCAAACTAGTCCTCAGGCCCAGACCGACACGGGCCCGACTGATGAGTACTGATGCTGCCTGACCGACACAGGGAATACCATCGACTCGAGGGGGGGGGGGAGGGGGACAGTGGAGGGAAAGGGCCCTCTGGCCGGCATTTGAGAGTCCGGTAATACGAGTCGGTCGGGAGGAGGTGCACATGCTCCTCTGCCCTCCCTGCCTGCATCGCTGCTCGGACAACAGCGTAGGAGCCTCCGAGTAAATAAAAATAAGTCAATGACAACGTGGAAGACTCCTTACTGATCGGATTAAACCGGAAAGCGATATAAAGGGCTCCTAGCAAGACCGGTCTCTGGACAGCACAAAGAGCTTTGCAATTTCGATTGCCGATCTCTTAATCAGTGAATACTTATTTTTGTCTGCTCATAATCTTTCACCTTCGCTTACGACTGTTATCGGTTGTGTGAACGCCCAAAGATGTCAACTTTGTTTTGTTTTGTGCAAAAATTGTCTGCTCTGCCGGCTATGACCCCTTGGAGCCTCAAGAAAACCCACGATGTCGTAACCTCCTCTCTGGATCCTCCACTAGACACATGCGGTCCCGTACGACACTGTCATCAGTTGGCAGTGATCTTGTAGCCTTGTGACGTCACCGTACAATCAGCCGGAAGTATCACAGAACTTCACTACAATTAGCTGGCAGCTGCACCGCCAATCCTACGCTCGGTTGTGGAAACTATATGGAGTGATAGACGTGACAGAAAACGCGCTTAATTGACATGTTATAGGTCGTAGAGCTATGTAAAGGTGTGAGAGAAATTCACAAATGTCTGGTGCATGTACTGATAATTTTCTTGCATGATTTACTTTCTCAACTTAGCTGATGCAGACCGCTTCACTGAGTGCGAGGCCTGCGCCGGTGTTACCCTTTTGTTGATGGTCAGAGAAACGAGTCAGGACTTTTCACCACTTGTATGGGACTTAGCTGCTCCCAAGAAGTATTTTGATGTTTGTCCACTCGCTTGGCTTTCAGCTTTATTATCTTCAGTCACTACTTCTTGCACTGTGCGGCTGCGGCACACTGATGAAAATCGGCCTAGTCGTCCACACTTCTAACATGTGTTCCCGTTAACTGGTTACTGCCCTCCAGTGGGGGTGGTGAAGCCACAGCGGCCTCACGGGGCCTGTTTTCTTCCAGTTAATAATCTTGAATCTTAACTGATCTATAATCTTCTCCAGGCTACTTGACATCTTCATGTTTCTCCCAATCAAACTGGGAATATTCTTCTTGGGCGGAGAAGCCAGCACATTTGAAGAAAATGTCAGTTTTCACGTTTTCTTTTTATCAAGCTGATTGGCATAATAGAATTGCAAGGAGCTAGAATCGCTTTTGAACTAGGGTGGAAGTGAAAAATTCCATCGCAAAAAGACCGTGCGGGAATGAAAAATCAATTCACAACGGATGGAACTTATGAGCTCGTGACTGATGCTTCAGCAAACGAAGACATCTATTTCAAGTTGGCATAGACGTAATATCAGGAACCTGACAAAACTATTTCGTTTTTTAACATCTTAGGCCATTAAAGTGAAACAGAATACATTAACACGCGCTCGGGTCGGGGGGGGGGGGCAAATTGATCCCACCCCCGGGGGCTTTTCCCGAATGGTTTCTGAACGGCGCGGCGTAGCCACGCCAAATTTTGCATAGCTGTAGAAAATTACATAGGGGATCGTTTGACACACAAATTTTAGATGTACCTTGCAGGGTGGCCGACCTATGACAGGTCAACGTCAGCCCGGGACCCTGTACCTCTGGTTTTCCGTTGTGCACGATCACCTGGCGGGCAGCCACCGAGCGATTCGCCGATCCACCCACCCGCCCGAATGATCGGACTGGGTTATGGCCCACAGTGATGAGTCCACCGCAGTGCTCACATATAGCTGCTCCGGCCCCGTGCTGAGCACCGGGCGGCGCGCGGTCTCCATCATCCAACGTCGTGCTATGCAATGCCATAACTTGCAATTAAGCTGCGGCAGGCCATGTCAAAGTTCGGTTGTTCGACTGGTGACGGCGGGAACTCTGAGATGAGGCGAAGCGACGCAAAAGTGATTTTGCCTTGCTTCTTCCCATCCGACGTAATAATGCTCATGCCAATTTTTATTCCTCAAGATGGAAAGGCAAGACTGCTCGCGGCAACCCCGCGACCAGCGCCCGTGCGCCAAGCACGTAACTTTGGGCACCTGTGTAATCTGGAACAATGTCCCGAAATCGATAACCTAGGCGACGTCTAACTGGCGAAGAGCAAACGTTTCAGAGGAATTCTGCGACATGCCGTCACATCATGTCATGGGAAGCAACTGGCGACGACGAAGACGACACAGATTTGCGCCACTGCGCAGCAGACACATTTCACCTATCTCACAGCCGCTACACAGAGAGCGGCGCTCCCTCACTGGGATTGCCATTTGGCGAAGCTGAGCACCTGTACAGACGAGCGGAGAAGGTACCCGGCCCGCGGCGGTCGACGGCCACCGGCCAGCAGCGCCCTCTCCAGCGCCGCCGCCGGCCACTCAAAGCATAACGACAGAACGGCGGCCAGCGCCACGTTCACCACCAGATGGGCCAGGAACCAAAACACGAACAGCGTGTGCGTGAAGGCGAACGGTACGCGCGCCTGGGTGGCGAACGACACCTGCAGCTGCATGGAGGTCAAATATGCGCCGGATGTGAGTCGGCCGAGCGGCGCCCAGGAGGGCTGTGAGAGCAGGCTGTTGACCGGGCCGCCGTGGCCCGTGGCGCAGGCGAGCACGACCCAGCCGCAGGCCAGCGCCCATGCTGGCCGATGCAGCGCCGCGTACGCCACGGCCACGGCCGGCATCCAGGCCCGGCTCGGCTCTCTGTTGTAGGCGTGCATGCCATACACGACCAGCAGTGCAACGGCCGCGGCCAGCACCCACAGCAGCAGGTTGAGCGGCGTGCTCAGGCGCCGGCGCAAGCGGCCAGTGCGCGCCCCGTCCAGCAGGAGGCCCAGGCCCAGCCCGATGATGTACGGCGAGGCGGGCGACCACGGCGCGTTGTACACGAGCAGTGTGAAGTCGCGTTGCGTCTGCCGGTCGTTGGCGTGCACGTTGAGGTTGAGCAGCGTGGGCGGCAGATGCTTGACGTACGTGATGACGCCGGGAATGATTGCGGATACGACACCCCAGAGCGTCAGCCAGGCAGCGCCGGCATGCCGGTTCCACAGAAATGGCAGAACTAGTAGCGGTGCCACCACGAACATCTGAAAGTCAAGCCCCACGTACCAGGCCTGGTCGATACACACCGTCTCGCCGTTGGGGTACAGGTTGTTGATGTAGAGCGGGTTGCACCGCCAGTAGCGCCGGCACCCGGTGACGCCGAACATTCCGAAAAAGAGCGCGGTGAAGGAGCCGCGGCCGATGTGGCGCCGCAGCGTGGCCGTCAGCCACACCACCACCGCGTACAGCGGCGTCAGGCGCAGATACCGGTGCAGGTACGTGCTGAGCACCTCGCGCACGCCGATCCGGCGGCCAGCGCGCTGCGCGTTCATCAGTGAGTAGGAGAACATTGCGCCGCTGAGCAGCAGAAACATGTCGACGGCAGGGGGCGCGTTCATGATGGCCTGGAACGGCAGCGGCCGAGTGACCTCCGGCAGCACACCCATGTTACTCAGCGGTAGCAGCAGGAAGTCGACGATGTACGTGTGACCGAGGATGACCCAGGTCATGGAGATGAAGCGCAGGCCGTGTAGGCAGCCGATGTTGTCCGGCGCCGTCTGCACGCTCAGCAGACGTCGCACGTTGCGATACAGCGAGAACGCGCGTACGCACACCGTCCGCCAGCCGGGTGGCAACGGCGCGCCTCTGTACACGAGCAGTGCCCGGGCGCGCTCCTCGTGCGTAGCAGCCACATTGACCACCGTGCAGCCGAGCACTACAAGTCCCGTCAGCGTCAGAAAGGCGACGGCTGCCCAGTCGCCGCCGTCGAGCACCGGCGCGTCGTCGCGGGCTTGACACTCGCCGACAACGGCGCGCAGCCCACTGCCTTTCAGCAGCAGGCCCAGCGAGATGCGCACGTCGTGCGCGCAACACGACGAGGGCACGCAATAAGCGTAGCGCACGGCGCCCGGCAGGAGGTCGGCCAGCGTCGGCAGTGCCGGTGCCTGCCGCTGGCCCGTCCTGCTGGGCGCAGACGCGCTGCTGGCATCCGGCACAACCGCGGCCGCGCAGAGCCGGCCAGAGAAGCCGCGCGCGGACGACTGCGGGCCACGCGAGGCGTTCAGCGCCGCCTGCACAGCCAGACACTCGTCCCAGGCGCTGAGCAGGTTCAGGCTGCCGAACAGCACGCCGTCCGGCAGCTTTCCTGAGGCGTCGGCCATGCGCAGCGCCCAGCCAGCTGGCGCCCGACTCAGCAGCGCGCGCAGGTAAGCCCGACCATCGTTGCGACACAGCTCGCCGGGTACGCCCAACTGAAATGGCGCGAGCCAGCACAGCAGCCAATCAAACGACGTCTCGCCGTCGCTCATCGCCTCGTCGCGCGCGAGCTCATCGGACTCCTCCAACGTGTCGGACTCCTCCAACTCGTAATTGCGCACTGTGCGCCTGGACCCCGCGGCCGGAGGCGCCTTCCTCGCGCGCGTCCAGTCTGTCACCGCTCCGCTGCCACGCCGAGCACCGCAGCCGCGGAGGCGGGCCGCGCGCCGGGCCTCGGCCAGCCGCGGTCTGACCAACGTTCACGCGTCGCGCCCGGCACTCCGCACCCGAGCTCAAACAGCCCAGCCAGCACGCCGGCCGGCAGCCGGCCCGCCACGACCGGCACGCACCCGCCGAACGGCGCCAGGCGGGCGGCGGGGCGCGGAGCGTCCGCGCCGACCGGCGCCTCGGCTCGCACGGCCAGCACCGCCGCCGCCGCCGCCAGCCAAGCGAGCACCGACGCCGTCATCTCCGCCGCCGGCCACGCCGCACACCGATCTGGCTCGCTGCGCTCTATCGCCGCCGTCGGCTGATGAGGACCGGATCCACCGAGCCTAGCCTATCTGAGGCATCGACTGTCCTGCAGACACGGCGTGCTTGAGCCGCGCCAGCCCGCGATGCCGGGGGCTTGCCTCGCGCAAACACTCTGTGCCAGTCGATCTGACTTGAACAAGGTGTAATTCGTCACCACAGGAAATGCAAGTCTTAGGTGTCTGCGATTGACATAAAAGGTTCTGCGCTGATGCAGCCATCGCAGCGACAGTGAAGACGACGGTGCCCAGATCTCTGTACATGATGCCTGTCGGAAAATGCTCTTTGCTGTGGCTACTCCATCCTTGATCAGGTTTACCTTCTCAGTCAGTGGTTCAGTGTAGCACACAGTTGGGCTGCTGCCCAGCTACGACGAACTCCAGCCCACAACTTTGATGATGGAACCGACCAAAGACTCGTAGCGTTGGTTCCACAGCATCCCTGACCACACCGCGCTCACCCTCTCTTTCTCATCCTCGCCCCGCCCCCCCCCCCCCTCACCGGAACCGCTCCAGTAAAACCGCCCCCCCCCCCCAAGTTCTGACACTTCAGCCATTCAAATGAATGCGTTTAATCAACTCCGCTCAATTCGTGTCATTTATTTCAATGCATCAAATGTCCACAGCACAGACCCGCGTCGTGTCGTCTGTTCGCTCGGATGATTACCCTGGTCGCGGCCTTTGCTTGTGCCCGACGCCTGCTCCGACGCAGGTGTTAGCACCAACGTGACACAGGCCGGCTGCCGAACCCCCTCGTGGACTAGGCTGAAATAACACGGAAACAACACAGGAGAGGTGGACAGTGCTGCCCTGCAGCGGCGAGCGCGTCGCAGCAGTGCGGCACTCTTCCAGTCCATCCAGCAGCACGGCTTCGTCGAGCCCGGGGCGCCGTGGCCCCGCAGCAGTGCGGCACGGTCCCAACCCATCCAGCGGCACGGCCTCGGCGAGCCCGGGGCGCATTGGCCCAGCCACACAACGCTACGACCCCCGCTCCGATACCAGCACTGCCACTGCTAAAGGGCTCAAAGTTTTTCCTCTCTGTCACACCATTCAGGTCAAGTGTCTCGTCAAAAAGCAGCCCCAGCCGTAGATGCCAGCTGAAGAGTGCAAAGCAGGTAACGTAACGTATCGTACTTATCCCAAATCGCACAAAAGCGGGTAACTTAGGAAGGCTGCACACAGCATCACAGTGATGAGAATCGCGCAAAGAAGATGGAGTCAGCAGCATCCATGGCCACGTTGTTTCAGGAGTTTCTGGAGCCCACTGTAAGAAGTTCTTAACTGGAACTTGAAGGGGATCAAGATAAAAGGTAAAGCGGCAACCTGAACATGATGCACAGCATCACAATTGAAACTGGGCTTGACATTAGGAAATCCAACTTTTGGGATTCAAAGCCGTGCCTCTGGTTGATGGTACCTAAATTTCAGTGGGCAACAGATACTACCACACAATCAATATTCCTTCACTGCACAGCATATATTGCATCCAGTGACACTATAAGACCATTGCATGATGGAAAACTTGCAGTTTTTTAGGTCATGGTATACATTGGTACCTGATGTTAAAAAAGAGCATTGTACATCAATCATCGTTGTTAAGGTAGAACATATCGTAAACAATCGCAAAACAGGTCATCTAAAATCTTACCTTGGAACTTAAACAACTACAACAGCGACCATCCCAGCGCTGCGAACACAGCGACCGCGACCCCGGCGCCATTGCACGGGTGGTCATAACATTACCACGCATCAAGAACCATAACAATTCAAGGGGTCAAGGTAACAAGAATCCGATGAAATGTCTTTCTTGCATATCCAAGCAGTCTTCCGTACTGTTTGTAGATTTGTGGACATGGGGGGGGGGCAAATTTGACGTTTTTGGGAGGGGAATGAGCAGCAAAATGAGAACATGGCGGCTAAAAAAACTTCTTAATACGGTACATATATATGGTATGGAACATGGATGCCGATGGGACACTGGATTGAAGGAGATAGGGTAGGGAGGTTAGGTTGTTAGGTTAGGTTAGGTTAGGTGAGGTTAGGTGAGGTTAGGTTAGGTTAGGTTAGGCTAAGTTAGGTTAGGTTAGGTTAGGTTAGGTTAGGTTAGGTTAGGTTAGGTTAGGTTAGGTTAGGTTAGGTTAGGTTAGGTTAGGTTAGGTTAGGTTAGGTTAGGTCAGGTTAGGTGAGGTAAAGCTAGGTCAGGCCAGGCTGGTTTAGCTTAGGTTAGGTGGTTATGTTAGGTCAGGTTTAGTTAGTTTAGGTTAGGTTGGGGCAGTTAGATTAGGCTAGTTAAGCCTAGGTTCTGGTCTATTCTGGCCTGTCTCTTTCATGAACTTACCTAAACGCTATAAGAAACGTGTTTTATAACATTATTGTTGCTACCTTGGTCTTGTACACTTTTTATGGTTATTGATGTGCATTAATGTTGTGACCAGGTGCCCACCACATAGCAATGGCGCTGGGGGATCGAGGTTGTCGAGTGTGTGTGGCGCTCGAGAGCTAGCTATCGTAATTATTAAAATTTGAAGGTAGCAGCATGAATCTACCTGTGTTATGATGCTTTATGATATGTTCCGCCTTAAGCATGGCAAATTATGTACAATACTCTTTATTAACATTAAGCAGCAATGTGTACGGTGCAAGTCTCGATCCAGGCTGATAGAAACTAATACTTAAAATAAGGTGCACACATTGAACAATTCCCAGAGCACATGACAAATTATGATTGAAATGCCATGCAAGCCCCAATAATATAAAAAGGAGCATCTGGAGCAGAATAGTAAGTGCAGCCATGTTCTAGCCAAGGTACAATCAATCTCATCTAAGCAGTGTCTGAATCTTGGGTGTTTCTTGGTGTTTTTAGCCCCAAGACATTTTGTTCTCCACAAACATACACTGGAAGGAAAGGAAAAATTGTTCTCTGTGAGCGAATTCAGATGAAGGCAAGCTGCTCCTGAAACTTCGACGGCATCGCGTGCCACACTCGCACGACTAAACGAGGGATACTGCTTGCCGGGTACAGTGGAATCTCTCTACCATATCACACGCAATCTTTCCTTGCAATGCACTCAGTGCCCAGGTCCGTTGCTGCTCATCATCGCACGTTTAACCCACCCACCGTCCAACGACAACAGCGCGCTCAGACGCCGGGCCCGAACCCGCGCTCAAACGCTCAAATCAAGTGTCTATTGATGGCCGAGGAAGCACATCCTCGAAAATATTTAGTACGTATTCTTGCTAAGAGGGGAAACGGTGTTTAGTACCGATTCGCAATAAAAGTGGCGAAGTTTAGTACGTATAGATACTAAACAGAGCAGCCCGCTAACCAAGCTGACCAGAGGAAATGAGCCTGTGTAGAGGTGGACGTCGTGAATTTCTTTTCTTTCGATGGAAGTAGAAAACCTTCACCATTTTGGGATCTCAATTCCCATTTGAATGCGAGTTGCTCCTAGTGCGCGGCGAGGTCGGTCGGTTGGTGGTCAGTGAGGGGGATGGTGGAAGTGGTTGGGAAGCGTGCTTGGAGAAACTCTCGCGCGTAATTTACAGAAGAGTGTTATCTACCGGCTGAGTATGATAATTATATATCCTAGACTACAGGGCATTGAAAAAAATATTGTCATCCGGGCAGTGCAAGGAATGGGATACTAGTCTCGAGATGTGGTTAGCTTCAGGCTTGGGTTTAACTCGAACGTCTTGAACCAGCTCCGGACTGGCTCACAGATTGTGGAATCTGACTCAGCTCGTCACTCAGCTGTTCCATTTTTCATTTGACTAAGTTCAGATTATATTTACATTGGAACACTTGACGTATGACTCACGCAGATTGCAAAATCAAGTATCAAGCTCTGGCTCATTTATATGCATATGTATGTGATATATATATATATATATATATATATATATATATATATATATATATATATATCCTCTGGTTTCTAGCTGAGATTGGGCAAACTTCAGGATGAACAACATGGGCTTTTCTGTTTAGAAATTGTGATAATAATTCTGTGCTGATGCTGAAAGTTTTATGACGCATTACTCACATGACTTCAAAGTTCAGTGCTGAAAAAGTATAAACAAAAAATTACAAAATTTAGTTTCTAATTTTATGGTATGATCCTAACGGACAAGGATACGTTCGTTTGTTTCACCTAGTTACGCAGGTCTACGGTCAATAGTGCCGGTATGCTTGCTCTGATATTGGGGTTGAAAATACTGGTTTCAGTTCATCTGAGGTCACTGAAGATTTCAATGATTTCTAAGGTAATTTGCACTGCCCGTAACATCGTCAGGCATGTCATCTGTGTCACATCGATGCCTGGGTGTAGTTGCACGGGGTAACCACTGTTTGAATTTTTTAATTAGACGATTTAATTCTTGGATATCACAGACACAGCGTACTGTTGGCACCGGAACGTTAGAGGCATACTTCGGACATCAATTTAGAACAAACCACCTGGTATGACTGCACTTTTTCCTAGTGTGCGTTTCAGACCACGTGACATTTTCTCTTAGTTCAAACGCGAATTAATGGAGCATTCCTTTCACTCATCATGCTAGCAACAGCGCTGAAAAATCAATTGTAGGTAAAGGCCACTGTGATGCATGCTCTGACGTCAGACACATAGCAAGAACGTTCTCCTGGCGTAAAAGCTAGATACCGAAAGCAACGGGACAGGATAGGACAAACAGAGCACACGTTAGTGCATGACAGATGGCACGGTAGGACAGAAAACTTGGGCGAGGGGGGTGGGGGGATTCCGAGGATTGAGTGCAGAGGGCAGAAAGCGGAGGACAGAGGTCAAGACGGCCAGAATGAAAGACAAAACAGATAAACACAAAACCCACCAGCCCTAGCCAGCGCACACATGTCTCCGGTAACGGGTGGGCAGCGCAAGCCGTTGCTCTCAGGGCGCACGACCCTGCCGGTACGTGAGCTCCCGTTCCTTGTCCCGCCCGCTCCCTTCCCATTACCCACTTTCCCGCATCCGGCCCACTCGTCACTCCTAATCCTCGTTTTATGGGGGCCGCCATGCCCCCTCGTCCGCGTCCCCGGGTTGATCGGATCCTGGTGGCTGAGGGGCGCGTCGTGCGGGTCAGTCACGGCGCGTCGCAACACTCCACTTTGGCCAGGATATCCGGGGGCGTGGGGGGGGGGGGGGCGTGGGGCCCCACAAGGGTCTAGCGGCTTGTCGCTCGCGTTGCGGTCACCGAGAACGAGATAGTCGAGGAACTTACAGGGTTTGGCGTGACGAGCGCTCGAAGGATTCTCGCCTCGTCACCCTTCACCTTATTTAGGGACGATCGGTGCCATCAGTGGATTGTATATCTTATTATTCAGCATGTGTTTTGCCACTTAAATTCTTATCTTCCTAAAAATGTCAGCCACCTTATTTAGACACTGCAATTTGACGACCGAAATAATCTTGATTGTACCTACTCGCTATGCCTTACCTCTCTCTCTCTCTCTCTCTC